TCACGAATCTTACCAAACTACAGGGAGTGATTATTTAGGCAAATGTGTTTAGCACCTGTCCTGCACCAGCATTTACCTAATTGTGTACCTTTGCCTATTTTTTCTTTTTTTTCAACTGAAATAAAATTTTTCAGTAGTGACGCAGTTGGGTGTAGTCCACAAAGACTGAGGGAAATTGAGTCAGATGTGTTGAACACTCATCTGGATACCAGGCTTCCGGGCCTAGAATCAATCCTTACATGACTGGCGATTGGATGATTCCAAGAAGGCTTCTTTAGTGGGGGGAAAAATCATTTCTTTGCACTGTTCTCCCTTCTTACAAATCTGGAGTATCCCATGACTTAGAAACGCACCTAAAACCAGCCAAATGTGGTGGTGAACACCTGTAATCCCAGCACTCAGGAGGTGGAAGCAGAAAGACCTGGAATTCATAGCCATCATGGCAAGTCTGAGGTCAGCCTCGGCTATGGGACACCTGTCCCAAACAAATAAAAAAAAAAAAATCAAAGCGCTAGAAAACAAATAATTTTAAGTTGGACTATGGTGTGTGTGTAGCACGTGTGCACATGTATGCACACACAATTTCACCGAGAAAAGGTGAGGAATATACAGTGCTTCCGAGCAGAACATTTCAGTGCACAAGTATCAACATTTCAGGAACATTTACGTTCCTGAAAAAGTTAGTTTCCGAATGGCATTCACTTGCAGAGAATTCTGGAAACCAGATGTGGAAAACAGTTCTAGTTATTCCCACTGGCTGGCCGGCGCTTCTGTCTGGATACAGGGCAGTGTTTTAGGGGAAACCACATCCCTGCTCAGCTGGGGACCCAGCGGAATTTGTAACCACCGGTGACTGTCCGGATGGTGAAGGCTTTGCCCTGAGGGAAGGCCAGAGTTCGGATGGTGCTGTGGCTGCGGATGGGCGTGCTGAACGAGCCGCCCTCCTCCAGCTCACTATGGCTCAGGTTCACCGAGCTGGCGCTGCAGTCCGTGCGCAGCCCTCGGAAGGTCCCGTGCAGGTTCCTGGAGCTGCAGTTCTTGCTGCCTGGCTCTTGCTGCAGCCTGGGCCGCTTGGGGTCGCGGTTCTGCAGGGCTTCATCGCAGCGCTGGGAGATGTCCCTGAGGATGGCGTCCACTTCCGAGCAACCCTGTCCTGCTTGCCCCGCCGCACAGAACAGCTCCTCCAGGCTCCTCTTCGTCGTCGCCTTGATCTGGAAGGGCTCTGCTGGGGACTGCGTGATCATCAGCTTCTGTAAAAGATGGAGAGCCCTGGAGCCAGGAGGACTCGCCTGGAGCCTTGCGGATAGGAAGAGATCTGCTACACCAGGGACACCCAGGGGCCCCAACACAGGCGCACCGCTACAGTTCCGACGGTGTCCCGCGCCCCTGTCCACTCACGTCCAGCACTGAGGCCAGGTGCCGGGTCCGGCTGGCCAGTTCTTTCAGCTGCACGTTCCTCTCCCTGAGCGAGGCGATCTCTTCCTGCTTCTGCGTCAGCGTCACGTGCAGCTGTAGTTGGAGAGCTATCATCAGAGAGAGGCCGCAGTGCTGGTGGGTCTAAACTCAGACCCTAACATCTCATCAGGACCTTTGTTCGCCCGAAAGTAGCCAACGATTTGACTTTTTTTTTTTTTTTAATTTAATGAAGTAGTTGGACAAACTGTATCTCAGTTAAACTTTAGTGTGTTGTTGGGTGGCAGTCAAAAGTACTGATTTGGATCACAGGCCCATCTAGGTTCTTCCTCTGAAGTTCAGCCACCCTGTCTTGGTTTATATATCCATAAAATGGGGCTAGTGAGATTGTCTACCTTCTGTGTTGAATCAAGTGAGAGAAGAAAGTAAACTGATAAGCACAGAGTCCGGCACATTGAAAACTTTCCACAAATACTGTTAGTACAATTACCAATCTGATGGGACCCAGAGCAGTGATGCTCACCTGTAATCCCAAAACTCAGGGAAACGGAGGCAGGAGGACCAGTGAGAGACCTCCACCCCAGTTCCCCCTAAGGCCTGGAGAGCTGAGGGAAGGGATATCTTAAAATAGCCAGAACTGAGTCAGTTCCCCATTCCCAGACAGGGTGAAGTCAGAAGTTTCAAAAGTACAAAGTCAGACTGTCTGGTGGTGACTAACCATGAGATGCCCCCTCCCCCAAGATAACATGACCAGATTTTGGAGATGGGCTGTAAAACTCCTGACAAGGCAAACAGACAAACTAAAATAAGATAAAGTCCAAGCTCAGGAAGACAGGACCAATCAAGGATGGACCCGTACTAACCCCCTCCTCTCTGAAGAATTTTGTGGTTTTTGCCTTTAAAAGCTAACCTCCCCAAGAAAGTATTGAGCCGAGAAGTAAGCCTTGCTATTGCATTCTGGACATCTTTGTTCTATGGTGGTCTCTTTGGAGGTCCTAATCTGGGCAGAGCAACCAGAATTCTCGGCAAGCCTGCGTGGGCTACATGGTGAGTTCAAGAAAAAGAAGGGGGTTGGGAATGTAGCTCTGGATTGGGAGTGTAGCCCTGCTGGTGGAGTATTTATGCATGAAGCCCTGGACTAGGTCCCCAGGACCCCCATAAACCAGAAATGTCACACATGTCTGGGGGGTCAGGAGTGCTGCTATATAGGCAGTTGGAGGCCAGCCTGGGCTACAGCAGACCCTGTCTCTAAAAGAAAAAAAAGGGGGGGGAGGGAGAAAAGGAAAACGAAAATAAGAGAAGAGAAAGTCCGGTGCGTGTGATCATCTCCATTCAGCGAGTTCAGAATCAGTTTGGGCCACTGGAACAGTACCGGCTATTAGAACCACCGGCCCACACAAGCGCACCCCAACCTTCACAGCTCCCAACTTGGGCTCTCTACCAGGCCCTGTCCTCACCCCCAAGATTCCTAGCCACCAGTGTCCTTACTTGGTTATTCTCTATGAGAGCAGTCCCCAGGGCTCTCTGGTTCTGGTCGGCCACCTCCTTCCAGTACTGCTCGGTTGGCGGTGGCGGCAGGTCTGGAGCGCAAGGCGGTGGGGGCAGCGGCGGCGGAGACCCCAAGGCAGGTGGGTCCAGCGATGGGGAGAGGCAGGACCCGAAAGATGAGACATCGCCAGGGGAAAAGGGAAAGTCACCGTCGGTCAGGGGAGGCGACATCAAAGAGGATGAATCTGGGAGAAAGCAGGAGCTGGATTGGCTGCCTCCAAATCATGCCCAGCTAGCCACGGGGGGGGGGGGGAGGGGGAATGCCACCCAGACATTGGGTATGTATGAGTTTTATAAGGCAAAGTCTATGATCCCTCATCTTCCTCGCTGTTTTGTTCATACGCACCTGCTGAGCTAATGTGAAAGAAATCAGTCACGCCTCCTGGGGCCCGGAAGGCATACAAGGTTTTGTTCCTCTGTAGACGCTTGTCATTTAACTTCTGACACACCACACCACAGTATAGGGACCTCATTCCCAGAACCCACACTGAGAAACGTATAGTCTAAAGATCAAGTGACATGATTTCCCCACTGTAGAGAAAGGATACCCTCTATTAGGGAGCATCTGACCCCTTGACGAAAGAGGGACTGGCCAGTGGCAGGTGGCTGGACTGACCACCTTCACCCCTACACAATCTGAAGTCTCTGGTTTGGGTAGGTGGCAGCCCTTCTGTTACTTAACTGCAAGGAGACGGGACTTGCCTGCAATGAGATCATCCACCGTGTCTCTGAAATCCTGCAGGTTGAAATCTTCTTCAGTTTGCAAGGAGTGATTCTAAAATAAACCAACGGTGTGAGCCAGAGAACAATTCTAGACAGACAGATGTCCTTGAAGCTTCTAAGGCTAGTCTGTATGCACTCTGGTTCAC